TAACATATTAATGGAGAAAAATATGATTATTTCAGTAGATGGATAAAAATATTTTCTAAAAGTACACATCTAAAACAAAAGTTCTCATCAAACTAAAAATGGATTTCTTAACTCAACAAAGTATGCCTACAATATGTATAGTCAATGATAAAACCTTACATACATTTCCTTTAAAATTGGGAAGATTAAAAAAAATGCTTTCTACTAATACTGTTCATCAATACATTGGAATTTGCAAGGCAGCACTGGAACTTGATAACTAAGTTTCTGAAAATGAATATATTTTGGAAATTCATAAAGCAATTTCATGTCTAGAGAACTCCAGGGATTTATTAAAAGCTTAAAACAAAGAAGACTTTCCTTCACCCCTATAAAATAATGAGACTGAAAAGAGATACCTACTACTTACCTGATTAATCCAACTTATTTTTTTTAATGCAATAAATATTTATTAAGCAACTATCAGACAGTGATAGACAACGGTCATGCTCTGGTCATATAGCAAAGGACAAAATGGATATTGTTATGTAACAGACTAATAAATACATTTAACTAAATATCTCCCATACAGGGCTGTGAACTTTCAGAGGGCATGGATCCTGCTTATTTGGTGACCTAGTTTTTTCTCAGCTCTTTACAATGCCTGGCACATTTGTATGAATCTAAGTCATTACTGTTAATCACTTAATCTATTTGTTGCATGAATATATGAATGTGCCCCAAAGCCATACAGTTGCTACTTGGAAGATCCAGAGATTGACCCAGTCTACTGACAATGGTGAAAGCAGTCACCCCTTCCTGTGAGCTTACTCTGGAGCTTGGCCTATGCTCAGCACTATACACTTGTCATCTCACTTAATCCTCAAACTCCTTAGAAAAAGATGTTATTATCCTTTTTTTAACTGGTAAGAATTCTGAACCTCAGAGAACTTAAGTGCCTTGCCCAACATCACCTGCTGGGTCTGTCCCCTTCAAAATCTGAGCTACTGTAGGCCCAAATCCTTCTCTTTTCACAGCAATTGTATGTGTAGTGCCAGAGGATCCTTGGCCACCTCCAAGGGAGCAGTTCAGTTTATTAACTAATTGGGCCTCCTGGTGCCAAGCAATCCGTTTGGCTGATTTTCTTTCCACACTGAATTGACTAATTTGTTTTACAGCAGTGACCACATCAGCTAGTTATTTTCATGGTAAATCAAATCATCCTTGTCCATTTCTTTGACTGTCTCCAACTGCCAGGAATCTGGCTAAGCACTGAGGGACAGGCATACCTAATCTATAACTCTACTTATTAATTGTGAAATCTTAGTTAAGGACTTAACTGCTTTAAGCTTTCTTTACATTTTCAGTAGAAGTGGAGTTCATACTAATTCCTGCCTTGTCTGCTTAATGAGGTGATTAAATCAAACAATTGTAAATAGCTCCTAATATAATGCCTGATCTCTCAGGAGTTTTGTTGTGCAGTAGCTGCTGTTATTAGATTTATTATTTGTAGTGTTAATCTCAATATTTAATTTCGGTATTATCTTTGTTCCAGTAAAGAGGCCTTTACTGACCTCCTTGACCTAGGTCATTTAACTTTCTTCTAATATAGGCAGAGTGAATTACTTGGCCCTTACTGGTTATTGCTCCTTTATTATGGACTTTAAATTGTGTTGTAAAAATTGGATCAAGTCTCTTATTCCCTACACTCTCTTCTAATTGCAGACACTTTTAGTATAAGTTCATTCATCTTTTTGCTAAGATGAATGAACTTACCCTTTCCATTGTGCCTAGCATAACAGTGTTATGGAGTTTACTGAATTGAATGAATAGGTCAAATGACTATTCACAGTGAATGGATTTGTCCATTCTCTTTTGTGCATTGTTGCTGGTGCCATTGATAGAATTACCTTGGTTATGATATGTGTAAAGACGTAAGTCTTGAACTAGATAGCTTGCTTTTAATAAAGATTTTCACTGTCTATACAGAGAGATCAATTTTTATTTATGGCACTTTTTTTTCCTTGCTAGTGCTATATTACAGACTTTTTCTTCTGCTGTTCCTGCCATAGGACTTTATAAAAAGACTCCTTTACTTTTATTTAAACTTTTATTTCCCACATCACTTTAAGGTATACATTTTACTCTTTCTCCCTATCATTAATACATTACCATTTGACTCTATCATTAGGCTGTCAATCTGTAAAACCCTGGAGGAAGAAAGAGAGTCCTTATTTTAAATAGGCCTGATACTTTGCTAAAGAGGTTAGTGCACTATCTACAATTCTATTCTTGTCAAGAATAGGCTTTTGAAATTTTGAAGAGAAGAAATGAAATTTAGAAGAGCTACCAAACCATGAAAGACCTTGGAAGAATAAAAGAAGTAAAAAGGAAGGAGAAAACAGTATAATCCAGAGACATTGATTGACAAATAGACAAAGCTCGATATAGAGTTCTAGGGAAGGTTCTTGCCTAATTTTGAAGTATCTGTGCAACAAGAAGTGCCCTGAGGCTAAAATCATGAAATTCACCCTAAGGAAAAATTTGTATTTCAAGGTTCCTAAAGATCAGGTCCCTCGTCCATTGTTAGTGGTCAGAAAAAATGGAAATTGGAGCATTCACTGGGTAAGAAAAAGAAAGGTAAATATTTAGTGACTATTCTGAGAGAAATATTTTGCAGGTTGTGGGAGCAGGTAGTCCTTCCATTTCCAGTGACGTTTGGGTGTGACAATGTGCCTGAAATAAAGCAGGAGAGATTTTTGTTGGGATTTGGACAGACCTCCTGGGTTCTCAGATACTCAAAAATGTTACTAAGCAGAATAGAATTTTCTCTACAAATGAGGCTGGCGAGTTTCCCAAGATTCTGAGTCTTAGGCAGGGACAGTACTGGTTTCCTGAGACAGCACTGCCACAGCCTCACTTGTGCTCTGGCACAATCTGACCCGATTCACAAAGAAAGCCTATGGAATCTTATTAACCTCAGACTTTGAATAAAAAGTTCTTTCTGCAGATGGGAGCTCAGAGCAGCAGCTCATTCCCTTCATAGTTGCGCTCATTCTACAGCAAATGAGAAACTGCAATCAACTTCTTTTGCCAAACATAAGAAGAATTTATTGTTTTACTTCAAACCGAATGGTTTTTGATGCAAAAGAATTGATAAGGCTGAAATTTCATATTGAAAATATTACATACAGATAGTAATCAGGGTAGGGGAGAAGGAAGTACAGTTCCTTGCACTGCTTCCGTCGAAATTTTCAATCAACTGCAGATAGCTTTTGCTTAGCAAAACTTTGACATATGTCCCTTGACCTTTACCAACTACCCTTTCACGTTTGACACTTAACATTTGCTACATGATTAAAATTCAGCGTTAATTAATTTCAACACTATCAGTTAAGTTAAATTTAGCTAAGAACACTCACTTTTGTCTTTTGTGAGTAGCACAGCAGTGTTATTACAAAGAGGTAGTCAGGAGGGCAACAGAGATACGAGAAGAGAAGAATGATTCAGTGTGCAGATAATTGTTTCGAGTGAAATTTAGCTTGGTATTTTTGTTCCTGTCCTCAGTAGAACTGAGATTTAGCACCTCCCGCTGGCATTTAGCCCCCACCGTCATGCAGAAGGAGGCTGTGCTGGGTGGATGCTGAGAACGAGCCACACCAGAATTAAATTATAGCACAGTTCTAACACTGGCAAGAATTTTCTCTGGCCAGCTCTTGGGTGATCCCAAAAATGAGACAAGGCATTGCTTGAAAGGATCTCCATATGGTGTGTGGCATCATCTTCAATGAGGGAGAGTGACATGGTTGTTTAAAGAGCATGGCCTCCAAAGTGCTGACCATTCCCAAAGAAAACAGTGGAAGCCAGAATATTGAGCCATAATATGGTTGTAGTTCTGTGCTTAAAAAGGTCATCTATGAAGTTATATTATTGATAACTTATTCCATAGAACAACAATAACAAAAGATTATTAGAATGAATAAAACCCTTGAAATTTGACCTCTTTCACTGAGTCTTCCAAATGGAAAAAACAAAGCAAAGCAAAACAAACATTTTTATTAGCTTCTGTCTTCCAATTTCTTTTTCTCTGTGAAGAGGTTATAATAAGAATGTGGATAGGCATTTCTTGCTTTTACCTGAAGCTCAAAATGCTACACAATACCTTCAACTATTACTCTTTGCAGTGAAATTGTGGTCCATAAATTTATTGAGCCACTGAAGTACTTTTATCCTTTAGATGCACATACAGCCCTTCACTGGGTTGAGAGTATAGGTCAAATACAATTTATATGCAAATTGCTGATATGTGGCTTGCTGAAGATCTATTACTAGATATTAAGTTCTTTGACATAGTATACTCACGTATCCCTCAATTGTTTATAAAAAACAAAACAAAGCAATTTTGTAGCATTCAAATATCATAAAACATTTTGCTTCCAGTAATTCAACTTTGTTTTCTTCTGGGTTTCCAGTCACCTGGCTTTGCTGCTATACTTCTGTGTTCTTCCATCTCCAGCAGTCACTGGGCCTCCTGGACACCAATTCAGCTTTCAAACTGGGCTGGCTCCCCACATCTTCCCTGAATACACTTCTAAGAATTCATTGCCACCCCTGTGGGCTCCCCTGGTCTCAGGACCCCCATCCTGCCTTGCTGTAGTTACCTTGGCTCACCTGCCATTGAAATGATGCAGGAAAAGACTGAGTTTTAATATTCAAGGAAAGCATACATAGATGATTGTGCTGGAAAGAATCATCCACTATGTCTAAGAGCAAATAACATTTTTTTAAGAGTGGGAAGATTTTATACAAATGTGGTTTTCTAGTTCTTGGATCTTCTGGTCTTTTTCAGGTTTACTTGGTGGATAATAAGAAGAAATTGAATTTGAATATTTATTTTCAAATGAAAATTTATACATCTCTATATTTTACAATATTTTCCTTCAATGTAGCCACTAACATATCTTAAGATTGAAAGTAGTTTTATGTTATAAATTATTTTTCTCTTGTTTTTCCATTTTAAGGTGCTACACAATGGCCTCATTATGGATATGAAGCATCCGACTGTGGGGAAGATTTCAGTCCCAGGTTTGAAAATATTTGTTATTTTCCATGACACTGTCCTTCATTGATTGTCCTACATGCTATTTCCTGCAGGTACCTAGTGTTTCCCTAAACAACTTATGAAGACATTATCCAAGCTTATAATTCTGGATAAAAGGGGAACCCTAGGACCAGACCATAGGAATGTATACTGAGACCACAGAGCTGTGTCTTAGCTCTGTGGAATGTCTGATTGCCTCAGTGACAAAAAATGTTTATATTTCCTCACTCTGTTTTGTGTAGATATGTACACACAAAAGTACATTATGTAATTACCAACTGATAGATAATAATAAATATTGCACATATTAAGAAATATAGTAGGGTTCATATGAGAATGGGAAAGGAAAACAGGCGAGAGAGAAATAATCTTTTTTATTTCAGAACTGTGGTTTAGGGTATGGATCTTGGCTTTGCAAGTCGAGAAACTAAATGTTTTCATTAAACCTAGAATAGATTGAATTTTTTAAAGTTGACTCATACCAGACAAACTCACCAAAGACTGCTGCTTAAGTCAAAATGCCAACGTTTTCATTTCCAGAGGTGGTCTCTTCCTGGTTGTTAGGAGCCTCATGCCCACTCTCAGAAGATCCTGGTGGGTGATTCAGCCAAACTATAGTGAGAGCTTATGAGCAGTGTACTGCCCCGCCTGATTGATTTCATTATAACATCACCACCTTTCATATCTGTTGTTTCTTTCCTTTGGGCATTGCAGGAAAAATACTCCATGTTCTTATTCATTTTATCTTTATTTTCTAGACGGTATGTAAAGCATACATTTATAATTTATTTTCTTCTTATAGAGGAGAATGGAATTAGCTAGGATATAACTTTTGTTGTTGTCTTCTGGAAGCTCTTTCCTAGTCACTTTCTTGAAATTTGGATAGTCTTAGTCATCTCATTCAAATGGCACAGAGCATGTGTTTCTGCAGGTACCTGACCTCATTTGTTGAATAACAGTTACTGTTAATTTCATTCTAAGTATAATCTAATTCTAAGACTTGGGGTCAGCTTGACAATTTCCCACAACATTATGATAATGACCATTGGTAAGCAGAAAGAATATGGAGAGGCAAGAATAATGAATAGAGCAAGTTGTAAGAGACAATGTGAAGTACTGGTGTGTAAGGAATGTTTTGTGTGGATTTAGAAGATAACTAGGAGGCTAAGTTTACATCGCCATGGGGAAATGCCATATGGTATAGAAAGGTGGTGGAAATGTGTTGATAAAAGTAAAAATCCTCATTCATTCATTCACATTATTGAATATTTACTGTGTGCTTTGAGTCCTGGGAATTAAAAAAAATAAACCAGACTGCTTGGTCTCTGGCCACATGGAGACTGTGACCAATGAAAATATAACTAACAAATGTTTATAACAGCAAAGAAAGGAAAGGATCATATGCAGTCACAGAGAAAAATGGGGCAAAGTGAGGGCCTCAGGTAATCTGAATGGTCAGAAAAAGCCTCTTTGAGAGGCTGGCTGATAAACATCAGACTGAAGGATACAAAGGAGTTGGCATTTGAATAATATGGGAAGAGCATTCCAAGCAGAGGGAATAGAATATGAAAAGATTTCAAGGCAGAAAAGAGCTGGGTGTGTTTTAAGCCAATATGAAGGAGCAAGAAGAGGAGCAAGAGGCAGGAAATGAGATGAAGAGATGCAGAGGCTTGAGGTCCCACTAAAGCTGGGTTTATCTTAATTTTAAGTAGAGGAGTGAAAAGGCACATTCCACAACTTAAGGAAGAAGGGAGTAAAGTCAGGAAGTTATTACAGGTGTAGATGATGATCTCATAAATTAGAGTCATAGAAATAGAGATAAAGAGAAGGGGGGTTATCAAAATAAGGACTGTAATCATAGTGCTTTCAGTCTGAGGTGACTTTAAATGGCATTTTGTCCAGTAGTTTTAATGTTTTAAGAGTTGAATTGATTTTCCAAATGAAATCTGGATAACTAAAACACATTGAAGCAGAAATTTGATGATTGATAGGTTAGCACTTTAGTTGTTTAACTTTCCTACTTTGACCCTACCATGCTATATGACTTTCCAAACATCACTTTGTGAAACCACAGGCCCCAAGCTTCAATTCAAGAATCACTGATTTAATTTAACCCTATGCATTTACAAATGAGGTCATCCAGTCATTGTTATCCCCAGTGCATTAGAGGAAAAGCAAATTGTTAACATGAAAGTGAGAGAAAAGGCAAGTCAGTGGCCAACATAGAATGAATTAATTGGATGTAACACTTTATCCATCAACCAGATTTTTACTGGCTTTCATGGTAAAGGAATGAAGACCCAATGTGAGGAAAGTGGAAAATGATATGGTTTAAATGTGAGGTGCTCCCCAAAAGCTCACATGTGAAACAATACAAGAAGGTTCAGAGAAAAAACGATGGGGTTATGAGATCCTTAACCCAATCAGTGAATTAGTCACCCGATGGGATAAATTGAATGGTGACTGAAGGCAGGTGGGGTGTGGCTGATGGAGGCCAGGCATTGGGGTCATGGCTTTGGGGTATATATTTGTATTTGCCAAGTGGAGATTTCACTCTCTGCTCCCTGGTTATCACATGGGATGCTTCCTTTTACCACACTCTACCTCCATGGTGTCCTGCCTCATCTCAAGCCCCGAGGAATGAAGCCTGCTGTCTATGGACTGAGACCTCAAAAACTGTAAGGCCCCCAATAACCTTTTTCTCCTCTACAGTTGTGCTGGTTGGGTCTTTCAGTCATAGCAGTGAAAAAGCTGACTAAAATAGAAAACTAATTTTTTTCCCCTAGAATCCTGGTGGAGAATACCCATTTTGCTCACTTTTTACATATATCAGGTAGCTATTGTCACAATAATACTATGTAACAAAGAACCACAAAATCTTAATGGCATTCAAACATAAGCACTTATTTATTCTGTGCTTGTAGATCAGCTGGGTGGTTCCCTTCCTCACTGCAGGGTGAGCTCAGTTTTGCTGTGTGTTGCTCATGGTCTTGTGGCAAACGCTGAAGAACAAGAGGTCAAACAAAAATCATAATGCCACATAAGTTGTTGGAGTGGAACCAGGAAAACTTTCTGACTGCAGTCTGTTTGTCCAAAGCAAGTTTGGGGTTCTATCCAAAGAGGTATAAAAATATATGTGACTCTTTTGAAAAGAAACTTCAGTTATCTGATAAAGGGCATGAGCACAAGGAACAGTAGTAAATAATTAAGACCAAACATTCACTGCAAGAAATTCTCATCTTGATAGAAAACATTTTTTTTAAAACCTCCCTTTGGAAAATTCTATTTTTTGTCTCTTTAAATTCTATAAAATTTAGGCATCTTTTTGGTATGTCTTTCTTATTGCCTTAGCTTATATTCTTCCTATAGACTTATCAATAAAATATCTGAATTCTTCAATTTGAGATGAAATGGCTATGTTAGTTTTTGAATTAGAATATAAGTGTCTCAGCTGGATTTAGTAGTGCACATTTATAATCCCAGTGGCTCAGGAAGCTGAAGCAAGAGGATCCCAAGTACAAAGCCTCAGCAACTTAGCAAGGCCCTATCTGAAAATAAAATATAAGAAAGGATTGTGGATGTGGCTCAGTGGTTCAGTGCCTCTGGGTTCAATTCCCAGTACTAAAAACAAAGAATATTAGTGTCTCTTGAGGGCAGTACATGTGGATTCCTCATAAAGGGGAATGACAATTCTGCTTATAGACATCAGATAAGAAGATGCTATTCTGTCTTCTAATTCAGTATATTATAGTAAGAGACCACTTGGGATAAGAGATACTAAATGCAACAGAAATTTATCAATAATTAAATTAATTTTTTTGAGGATTATATTTTACATGATTTTTATTTATGATAGCTCTGCTTCTCTTTGTGAGGGATGTTTGCATTGGAGATTTCATGAATGCTATAGAATTTACTCAGATTCTCCCATAATGCCTCAATGACAGGAGTCTACCAATGCAGGAAACCAAGGTGAAGTTAAATATAACTTTATACTACACTATTTTCTGGTTGTGTTGTGGAGAGAGACATTTTGAATTCACTAAGTGTAGTTCTATAGATTTACACATATACCTGCATCTTCATATTTATAGTAAAAAAATCCTTATTAAACATTACTAAATTCTCCTTATTTATATTCCTTTTCTTATTAATGAATTCTGTGATATACTGAATTTTCTATACATCGTACTAAATTGCTTGAAGCATTTTGTATTTTAGCTATTATTTGAAATGTGTCTCTTGAAGAACAGCAATAACACTCATGCAATATTTATTGGTGCCTTGATTGGAGCTATATAAATCCATATTGCATTCCTCAGGTTAGACCTCCTATACAGGAGCCCTTGGTTAATACCTTAAAGGTACTAGTCAACCAATGTTTGAAATACTTTGATCAGGAATGATAAATTACTTCTTCAAATCCTTTTGACTGCTTAAAATAATAATCTTAACCATTTAGTACATTGTCTCAATATTTGTAATCATTACCAATATTAAAATACAGCAAGCAGTATGATCTAAACAATTTCCTTAATTAGTTCATGTCTATTGTGAACACTGACGTTTCATATAATTTTCTACCACTTTTATCCTTAAAGAAATAAAAAAGAAATGGCATTTGTGTATGTAGATGACATAGTTAAAGCATAAAAACTAGTTAGTGTTCATCAATTATTTCTAAATATAAGTTGTAGTTATGCTAATACTTTTGTTCTTAATTTCATATATTATTCATTAAAGCTCTCTCATTTGAGCTTTAAAGTCTATTATGCAGTTAAAGGTGAACAAATCCTGAGAAAAATTATCAATGGGAGTATAACACATGTCACATCTCTCTTTGCCAAGCTTATATTATCTGGTGTTCTAAGAGTCCTACTCCAAGAAGGGAGTAGCTGTTAGTTTGAGCTTACCATTGGTTTAGTTTATTAACTTAGATACAAGTATCAGTGCAGTAAACACTTTGCACTAATTTTCTCACCAT